AAAAAAAAAAAAAAAAAAAAAAAAGAAAAGAAAAGAAAGAAAAAGAAAAAAAAGAATTTAGCACTGTTCTGTAAAGGTAGCATTTTACAGAGAACTGAAGGCTTACTTAATAAGTGGAGTGGAGCAAATTGAGTGGGATAATGTACATACCAAATGATACAAACTTATAATAGACTGTATCTTTTTAAGTACATAATTTGCCATAAGTATTTTAGTAAGTTTTTAAACAAATAGACTTTATCCTATGGCCCTTAAAAATGAAGCTCTTTATTTATTGATATATAAATGCCAAGATACCAAATAGTCTCAATAGGGCAGCACCAGCTGGAAAAATAAATCTGTATGTACATGTTTGTTTGCATGGATTTCTTGTACGTGTGCTTCCTATCCTGGACAAGATTCAGGAGAGCCGATAACAGGATTACCTTCTGAGACAGATGCTGGGAGAATGAATAGTCTTTATATATACTTTGTAGTAGTGTCTTTTACATCTTATTATCTATTTGGTAGAAAGATGAGTTGAAATGAAAAATTGTTTTTTATGGGAATGTTGTTACTAAGAAAATAATAGCTCAAATGCTTTGTAAAAATTCTTTAAGGCAAGAAGAAGAGACTAAAGTAATGAGCTTAGTGGAAACCTGAATGTATTAGCTCCTAGAGAAATTGAAAAGGTCTTTGGAAAATCTAAGTGGTTCCCAACAGGTACAGAAGTTTGCAAATCACAAGTTTTCAGTATTTTAATAAAGCAATTCACTATTTATTTCAGAACATGAAAGATCTTCAAACTACACTAAATATTTTAAACATTCTTGTTGAGCTGGTGTCAGCTGGTAAGTTTTTATTCCCTTTGGTTTCATTTCTGGGTAAACTTAGCAGTATATCGTGTATAATTCATTTTTTTAGTATGCATATAGAGGCTACTCGGGTACTGGAATTCGGAAACTGAGGTGTTATATTCTTTGGTTGTTGATATTTTTGGTATATTCAAGCATCCTTGAGTCACTTTAGTTTCAGAGCCTGGGCCCTTGAATTTTTGCATCATTGTGTTTATCCTTTGTGTGCTTTTTTTTTTTTTTTAAATAAGTAAATCGAAATATGATTTCAGTATATTTGTTTGATTTTAGAAATCATCATTTTAAATATTGTTGGAGTGCTAACAAGTTATACTTCCTAGGGAGGATTTACTGTTCAAAGATTTACTGTTTTGATTTTTAAAATTTAGGTGGAGGTCGAAGAACAAGTTTCTTAGTTGCCAAAGGTGGTTCACAGATCCTGTTACAGCTACTGGTGAATGCCAGCAAAGAATCTCCCCCACACGAAGAGCTGATGGTACAGGTTCATTCTGTTCTTGCCAAGATTGGACCGAAAGGTAAAGGCTTCACCTGTCTGTGTGTTAAAGCTGAAACCATGTTTATAACATTGTTTCTGCCTTAAACTGCATTTTAAAATATAAAGTGTGTTTTCTTGTTTTTTGAGATAGTATTTTTTAGTCATTTGGTAACTTGTAAGAATTGAAGATAGGAACTTCATGAATAATGTTAAGAGAAAGGTAGAGAATAACGGTAGAGAAAGGAAGACAGATATGTCAGAGCCACTAGTGTGCCTCAGTGTGTTTGTGTGCCCCCATGTGCATTGGATCAAGTTCTTCTGAGCTCACGTATTGGGCTATTCCAGCCTTATCCTCCTGCTTTATTCCCTTTCCTGTCCCTTCATATATTTTCCAAATGCTTCAGAATTGTATGGAGCCCTTTAAAAACTCATACAAATTCACAGTTTTAATTTTTGCAGGTTAACTCTGTATTTGATGGTATAAATTCATAATATAAATTACAGAGTCATTGTTATATAATTCTATAAGTACTGCGCGCTAACCGATTGTGCCACTGAAGCGTCTTGCTGTATAATTCTTATTCAGAAGTTACCCTTAAATTACTTTTTCTCTTAAACAGATAAAAAATTTGGAGTGAAAGCTAGAATAAATGGGGCTCTGAATATAACCCTGAATTTGGTCAAACAAAATCTGCAGAATCATCGATTGGTTTTACCTTGTCTTCAGCTTTTACGAGTTTATTCTGCCAACTGTAAGTATTTCAGAGTGGATTTTAGTTAACTCAGTATTGTGAAATTGTGCAAAATGAAAATTTTAAACCACCTTAATTCTCTGCACCTCTCAAATTTGTGGAAAAGGAAAGAAGATTGAATATGGCTTATTGTAACTCCTAAATCCAGGTCCAAAAGCTATGAGAAATAAGAACATGAGAAACTGGAAAAACTATTACCTCTTCAGACTTTCATGAATGAGAAGAAATATGAGGAGACAGACCTGAGCACAGTCAACTGGGGCTGTTTTTCAGCAATCAGTAGGGAAGTAGCTGATCAGAAAAGAATTCCTACTTGAGCTTCCCAGGAAGTTTGAGGAGAGGACTTGCAGAGACACACTGTCTCCTGAAAGACGGTGCTCACTGAGTCACAGTGGGTCCCAAACCAGGAAGGGATGCGTTTCCCTTTCATCTGTGATTGTGCAATTGGAGTGCCGAATGAAAGAACATAGTATGAGAATTGTACAATATATGTTGTTGTAGAATAGTGTCATTGCAAAATAGTGGTTAAATGCTAGCTGTATGTGTTTGTAGATAAACAAACATCCAGGGGGCTGGGGAGATGGCTCAGTAGAATAAGCGCTTCCCTGGCAAGTGCAAGGGCCTGGGTTCACTCCCCAGTTTCGCCAAAAAACAAACAAACAAAAATCATCTGGATGTAAGTGCATCTATGTGTCTCTTTGGAATGTGGATAGCATGTGCTTAGATGGCTGTCAACACTTAGAGTGGACATCTATATAATTATAACAACATATGAAGAGGGATTCCATAACTAAACAAAAAAGTTAACTACAGAAGAAAACTCAAGAAAAAAGAAAGAAAAAAACTCAAAAGCAGAGGAATGAAATAGTAAAAGAGTAGAGAATTATTATATGTTAGATCAAAATTCAGTTTAAAAATTAAGGCTAAATTGGATTAGAAATAAAACAGATTAGTCACACAATATGCCAATCAAGGAAAATGGAAGACAGTACAAATAGGAATGATATAGTCCAGGAAATGGTGGTTAGAAAGGATAATGGAGCAATACACAGAGAAAAATTAAGACCATCTTACAGAGCATTGGGTGTTGCATTTTTGGTAGCTTTTTATTAATTTGACCACTAGAAAGCTAGCCAAAAAAAAAAAAAAAAAGGGTACTGAAAGGGTAGGCACAGTTTTTCTGTTAGATAATACCCTCCTTTTCCTTCAGTTAAGAGCCTTACTACATCGCACCAGATCTTGGCCTTTTACAGTGTCTCAGATCCATTTTTTCTAGAGTACTATAGGTTCTGACCTGTTCTATTAAAAACTGAAATTGCAAATCTGATGTGTTGTTTCTTTTGTGTAGTTTCTTGTACCTGAAAGATAAACTTTTACAGATTTTTATAATTTCTTTCTTCCCTTTCTTTCCTTCTCTCTCTTCCTCTGTTTTTCTTCCATTCTTCCCTTTTATTGAACCCCTAGGGCTTTTGCACTCAGCCCTTTATATTTTTTTGAGACAGGGTCTCACAGACTCTCCCAGGTGGAACTCAAACTTGTGAGCCTGCCTCAGCTTCCCAGAATGCTGGGATTTCAGGTGTGTGCCACCACACCCAGCTCCTAATTTGTTTCTTTCCTTCTTTTCCCATCTCATCTTACCATGTGTGTGTTTTGTTTTATACTGTGTTTAGCAGCATGTTAAGTGTGCATACTCATGATATTTGTTTTCTTGGTTTATTGTGCTGATATCATGTCTCCAGAGACATTTTAGGACTGCACCTATCCCTAACTTTAGCTAGTGTCCTGGCCAACTTCTGCTTCTGTTTAAAAGACTGTGCTAAAGCATTATTTTCTCAGAAATGCCTCTGTCTTACTTTGAATAGGGACTCCTCCTTGTATATCCCAAAATAATCCACAACTCCTATTTGTACAGTAAGTTTAGTGGTTATTTACTGTTGTTTCATTCTTTCAATGCTTTTTATTCTTGTCTCTTAATCCCCTTGTCACTTTATTGAAGAAACAAATGGAGCTAATGAAGTGCCTTTTTATAACATATTTTGGGGAACATATAACTTGCTTTAGGATTTACATGCATTTTCCTATAAAAACAAAGCTTCTCCTAAACTTTCCTTCAAGTGATTAGCCAAGGTAGATTTAGAGTGACTCAGAGTGACTTGAATTCACTTTTTAAAAAATGTATTTGGTACAGGGTCTCACTATGCAGCTCAGACTTATAGTAATCCTCCTGTTTTCAGCCTCCCCAGCACTGGGATTACAGGCATGCGCTACCATGTCCGGTCTCACTGGCCTGCTCATTGCACCCAGGGGTGGGGCTGGTGCAGTTTGTGGTGCCAGGGATTGAACCCAGTCCCTGCGCTTAGTCTGCTAAGCTATCTTGCGGCCCTACTTGAGTTCACATTTATTGAACACTTCATGCAAGTTTTTGGCTGGGTATTCCTAAGTATACACATTTTTAGTTAGTAAAGTTTTAAAGTAATTTTGCAACTTTTTCTTCCTCTCTCAGCTGTGAATTCAGTAACTTTAGGGAAGAATGGAGTTGTGGAACTGATGTTTAAAATCGTTGGACCATTTAGTAAGAAGAATTCAGGTCTTATGAAGTGAGTAAATGTTTGAATGTAAATAGAGGTATATATATTATTATTATGGGTCTCATTTTATTAGGTGTAATGATCAAGTTGAATTAAGTTGTATCTAGAGTCTTGGTTCTTAAATAGTGATTTTTAGTATGGTAAAATTTTTTTAATGTAAAAATTTTAATTTTCAAAAATATACCAAAATTATAAAACCTTAATTTCACTGAATACAGTATTTATAGCAATTTAAACTAGTCATTTATAGGTGCTGTAAGAGGAAATAAGATAATTTATAGAATATCATTCATGCAAAAACATTTATTGAGTGCCTACTATATTCTCCACCCAGTTTTGCAGTCTCTTAATGACTGCTTCCTTCATTTTCACTGTTACATGAACATGTGTTAAGTTTATACATTTCTGCCTTGTCAAAATCATGTCATCCATTTTTGTCTTGAAATATATGTAATTATAGGTATTTAATTAAGATATATTTTATATACAGTGGTACCTCAGTTTATGAATTTCTATGATTCTGGTTGCAATCCAAATGAGAACCAAAGAATTAAGTTCATGAACCAAGGTACCACTGTATGTATCCATGTATGTATTCACTAAGAGTAGTCCTTTGAAACTATTGTTATTATTGTAGGTTTTTTTTTTTTTTTTTTTTGCGGTACCAAGGATTAAGCTGAGGACCTTGCGCTTGTCAGGCAGGCACTTATGCCCTTTAGCTGTATCCCCAGCCTCCTTTTAAGCTGAAATGAAAGTAACTTGCAGTTATTTGGTTATACTTAATATTTTATTTTAAGCCTAGAGGTCATTCTTTAAATTTTTATTGTGGAATTTTTCAAACATGTATAATTTATACTATATTATGTTAAATTAGTTAATGATGTAAGTTACCTAGTGTATTCAACAATTATCAGCATTTCATGTATTTTATTTATTTATTTTTCTACACTTTCATTTTCTTGGAGTACTTTTTTTTTTTTTTTCAAAGTTTTATTGATAAACAGATAGCAATGAGACAGTTTCAAATCAAATCGGAAGTACAGTTTCAACAAATAATACACTGCATATATTCTTCTTAGTGGTTAATTGCTGTACAAGATGCGGACTTGTGATCCTATTTACAAACACCATTAGAACAAATCATTCTATTCATTAAGAGAATGCAACTATATATCTACCCCAACCACTTTGAATACACAGATACAAAATGGACATTCATAGGTATACCCCATTTTTTCTAAGTTCCGTTATTGAATGTTATAGGTGTGTAAACTCAGCAAAATATTCTAAAAGAGTTCTTGGAGTACTTTTAAGGAGATCTTAGATATTTTCTCTGGGTGACTTCCTCTGAATATTTCTTTTCTTTCTTTTTTTTTTTTTTAAACTAATTTTATTTATTTATTTTTTTTTGGCAGAAATGGGGCTTGAACTCAGGTCCCTGCACTTGCCAGCGAAGCGCTTATTCCACTGAGCCATCCCCTTGGCTCCCTCTGAATATTTCTATGTTAAGTAGATCAGTACATAACTCTACCAAATAACTATTTCACAACCAGCTGAAGTTTTTAATTCCTTAATACAAAATACCATGTGTTCTCCAGTTTTCTAAAAATTGCCCTTTTACAATTAGATTATTTCCAGCAGAATCCAAAGAGTACATATACATTGTTCTCAATTATAATTATGAAGTTTTCAAGTCTACACAAAAGTACTTTTGTTACACAAATTCAACAAGAATCATTCTGCTATTTTTATTCCCTGCCCTTACTTTCTCCTGGAGTATTTATCTACCATTCTATTTGATCTACAGATTGTTTAGTATGATTGCTATCAGCTGTAGGCCTTCTTTTTTTTAATCACCCAGGCCTTCTGTTTTTGTTATCATATCATTTCTCTGTCCAACAATAGTAGTTTCTTATTAACATTTTTTATTTTTGATTATCTAAGAGATAACCCCCTCCCCATAGTTGGCTTGTTCAAATAAGGGTCCAAATAAGGTCTGTACATTCTATTTGATTGATATATCTCATAATCTTTTAGAATAAATACAAAGCCACCTATTTATATATTTCTTGGTTCTGTTTTGTTGTAGGACCTATGTGATGTTTCTTTAGAATGTTCTACATTCTAGATTAGGGTTACATTATGCTGATATCATTTTATTTTATACTGTTTATTTATTCATTATTTTTTAATTTTATTGAGAAAGAAATAGCAATGAGATAGTTTCAAAACAGATTAAGACAGTTATAATAATTAATACATTGCATATTGTTGTCTTTGTAGTAGTTATTCATAGTACAAGATGTTGACGTGATATCTTGTCTGATAAACACTTAGTACAAATCTCACTGAACTAAGAAAAAGCTGTATATCTATCCTATTTTGTATATACACACATATATATATATATTTTCACTACAAAATTATCCTTCATTTATATCCCTCTTTTTTATTTAGTTTTGTCAGAGAAGTGTATTCCATTGCCATTCAGATTGTAGGTGCGTGAATTCAGCAAAATAGTACAATATAGTCCAGTAGTCCATAGTAGTAGTGGGTTAGCCGCAGAACTGGCAATGTCATAAGTTGTTGACTTGAGCCTTTTACAGCTCAGCATATTAATATGGCTTTACTTTTTAAACCTCATATTCATACTTTTCTGCTGGATGGTTAAGACCAAGACAAAGCAGGACCTATATAACAAGAAATGTAACTTTTGTATCTGACGAGGTCAGTCAGATCCCCTCAGGATTTACCCTGAAACCCTGTACAATAGTTTGTAGATCCTTTGTTAGTGTCAGCCACGTGGATGAGTCATGGCCATTGCTTGACCAGTTTGCTTACTGTGAAAGCCTGAGAGAATGTTTTCTCTCCATGTAACTCTTCCTAGGCACATTCTACATCGTCAATCACTTTCCTCTGTGGCCCCATAATCTCCTTGATCAGGAAATTTGGAATATAACTGAGTTACAGGATGTTAACAGCACAGGTTCTCTTATTTCTTGAGTCCTCACTGACCTTGAAGGGTAAGGGCCAAAATGTTGGCTATCCTTGTACCCCTTCTTTTTCTTTTTCTTGTTTTTTTTTTTTTTTTGGTCTTCACACTTAAGTTTTTAACCCTCCAGAAGAGAAGCTTAGTGATACTGTTACCCTACAACACAGGCAGTTGAGTTTAACATCACTATCTGTCTGAATATCAAATGCCTTAAAAATAGCATGGAACAGGTGTTTTCCATTGTTGATATGTTAAACTTTAAATCCCTACAGAGTGTGGAAAAAAGCCATGAAAATAGTTAAAAAAAAATAAATAAACAGTTGCATATTTTTACACAGAAATTTAGAAATCTGACCATATATAACTTTGTAGTACGACAATCCTATGACATTTTTTTCTTGTCTCTTGTTTTCATTGCTGTCATTTTATTCACATTTTATGCATGCTGACAGAGGTAGTGACTTATTTAAATTTACCCTTTTTAAAAAATAAAAATATTTCAGAGGTAGTGCAAGGTGCTTAAGGGACTCTATCAATTGGAATGTTCCTGTAATTAATGTTACTAAGGATTTAGCTATTCATTCTTTGCATTGCCTGGATGATTTATTTTATTAGGGCTTGTACAATAATGGCATTCCTGATTTTCTCATGTCTTCCTGTACTGTATTTATTAGCTGTAAGGCTTTTATGAAGGAGAACTTGTCCTTATAAACTATTAAATTTTACACACACACACACACACACACACACACACCCAGTTTCTTTTTTGTCCATGCATGCTAGGTGTGTGCTTAAGAACTGAGCTATATCAGCATTCTTGTATATTTATTTAGTACTGGAGAATGAACCCAGAATCTTAACATTGGGTATATCATGCCCTTTAAAACTTTTTAATTTTTTGAGATAGTCTTGCTAAGTTGCCCAGGCTGGGATAGAACTTGTGATCTTCTTGCTTCAGCCTCCTGGATTATGGCCCAGGCTGGGATTATATGGGTACACCACCATGCCGAACTTCCCTATTTTTATTTTTATGTCATATGCTACTTAATCTGTAAAGAACTTCATAATTTATCTTTTATGTAATGGCCACTATCCTTTCTGCCTGACATCCATGTTACTATATTACAACCAAGTTACCACATATAGCTTAAAGTGTCTCTAGGAGAAAGGGAAGATTTCAGAAGTTATTTTTGTAATGTGCTAGATGGCTTATGTCCAGAAGTACAGAAAAAATCAGTGGACCTAAAACATCTAAGAAAAGTATACAATCATTTAAGTTATGCCTTTATTTTTTCTATTTCTTTTACTAAATAAATTAGTATATTTTATGTTTTAGTGAAGCAGTTTCACACAATTGTAGGCAGCTTCACAAATGAAATTTTAAGATATTACCATACATTTGAATTACAAAAATTAATGCAGAGCACCACTAATTAGTATATTTTATGTGTTTCAGTCTGTAAATCTTTGTTATTTATTTATTTATTTTTGTATTTTAGGGAAGGGTCTACAGAGTGTTGAGGGTCTCACTACTAGATCAGACTCATAGTGATCAGCTTGTTTACAGCTTCCCAAATGCTGGGATTACAGGCCGTGCCTCCACACCCAGTCTCAATTGCTGTCTCAGCGCACCCCGGGGGCGGGGCTGGCATGGCAGACCCAGGGATCGAACCCCTGGTGTAATCTGCTGAGCTATTTGGCTGGCCCTACAAATCTTTGTTTTATAATCATTAAAATTTTTTATTCTTAGTTCTATGTATGTTTTTTTCTTATTTTAAGGAGAATAGAAAAATAATAAAAAAGACGTTAGAAACAATACACAATTAAAAAAAACCCAAGATGGTAGGCATTCAGCAGAGGTTGTTACATTGCACATTGTTGTCTTCGATGTAGTTGCTCAGGTTACAGATATGAGTGTGTGAAATTGGTCAAAGTAAAGAGATCAACTTGGGGCTTTTGTAGGTAGATGGACACAACTAGAGGCTGCACTTGTAAGTGAGAGAAAGCCCACATGTAT